GCTGTGGCTGCAAGTGTCTGGCTGACTTTCTGTGTGTGGCATGCTCATGAGCCTAGATGCAACATCTTTATTTAGGAAGCAAATGCCAAGTAGATGCTTAAGAAATCACATGGGAGGTTACACTTGTTGTTTGTAGACACACACTTAACACAAACGAGGGATGCTCATATCAGGAGCTTTACCAATCCAAAAGGGTTTGGGGTGGAATCATGTTTTCTCTTTCTCTCCACCTCTCAGGCCCTTCCTAGGTAACTAGGCTGTTTCCTGCATGCCTGTATGCTGGTCTGCCAGGTGGGTCTTCCCTGTTAGTGCCAGCCTGATGATTTCTGTGGCACTGTATGACTGACTCGATGACTTGTGACCCAACTGTCCATCTGGCTGCTCCAGAGTTTGCCCAGCTGCTGATCTTTGTTTGCTGTGTCTGAGTTTCCATTACTCCTTTCAGCATCCCACTTGAAATCTACTCTGCTCTGTCTGTTAAATGTGTGAACAGAGAGGGTGACCCCAAACTACTGGTTCCGCCCTGTGTCCTCCTCTCTTCCGCTGGAACACACTTGCTCCTCGTTCTTCAGAACTTGCTATCACTGGCAGAGTAGCCACTCCAGCTTGTCACGTCTGTGGTGCCCTGTGAAAGGATAGATGTTTTATTTTGCACTTGGCAGGCACTCAATTTAACTGGACAGTGAGGCCCAGGCAATATGACACCATCTGTTTCCTGCTATGTTCTGGTTCCAGTGATGGGTGCCCGGGCATCAGCTGTTACCTGAGTATGCTGGAGCTTGTGAAATGAACCATTTAGGAAACACCTCTTCCCACCACACTTTTCTCAGTAGCACAATTCACACAAGCCAGGCTGCAAGGCTGAGCAATACTTCTTGACTCGACTCCAAAGTAAAAATGAAAGAAGAAGGAGAAAGAGGAGAAGGAGAAGAAGAGGAGGCAGAAAAAGTCTTCTAGCATATATAACTTTCAAGTTGGTCTAACTTGTAATCTAGTGTCATGGATTGCTGTGTGTGTGTGTGTGTGTACGCACGCGCGCGCGCGCGCGCGCGCGCGCTCATACACACACGTGCATGTGTGTGCCTATGTCTGTGCCTATGCCTGTGTATGCACGCACATGCATGTACAGAGGCACACAGAGTATGGCCCTATTGTCTTCCATTTTCACTAGTTGTCTTGAATTCTGCCTGGTGCTTCATTTTGGTTTCATCTCTTTGCAGCTGGGTTGGGGCAGGGAAAGTTGTTAGCTGATAGCTGAGTGCAGGTACTCCAAAGGGAGAATTCAGCAAGCACCAATGCCATGGAAAACATCACAGATCACATGGGCTTCCTTTTCTCTGGGGTGTGGGGTCTAGCTGGCTGCAACCAAAGCTAGAGGGAGCAATGTACACTCAGTTCCAAATGGACCTCTCAACTTTCAAGTTTCTCTCAACCAGTGACCTCCCTCTCTTTCATCTGAGGAGCTGACATGCATTTGGGGCAGGAGTTGCATTGAAAACTAATTCTTTTCTTGACTCACTGGTTGTGGTCTCCTGTGAACAGAAACACCAAGCCATCTGTTTGAGGTACTGAAAATGAAACTGAACATATGAGTACACACACACACACACACACACACACACACACACACACACATCAACCTTGAAAAAATAGTTCATGACTTTTTAGACTCAATCTGGGCCATCTGGAGCAGACCCAGCAGCTTCTGGAAGCTCTGTTCCTTCCTTCCTCTTTCTTATGTTATTGAAATGGGTTTGGTCAGGTATTCTGATTTTGATGCCTGAAGAGTGACTCAGACAAATCTGAACCTTAATTGGAAACGTATGCTCTCCTCACTTCAATTTGCTGGCGCTTTGAAGAGATTTGTGGGTAGAGTCTCTGCAAAAATGTTCTTTGGTGACCAGATTGTTTCCCAAATCAATTGATGAAGACTTTAAGTCATAGGGGAAGATGAAACAATGTGTTCTAATATTGGCATGGGACTTCAGAGCAAATGCTACCTTTGACTGTTGAGAGTTGCATACACTCTAGTGGAAAAAGAGGATTCATGAGATCTAGCACTTACGGAAATATGAAGGCTTGAGTTCAAATCCCCAGAACCTAAATCTGAGTGTAGTGACACACATCTCGAGTCCTGCTGCTCCTAAGGCAAGAGGCAGTGTAGACAGGTGGCTCCCCGGAAGCTCTCCATCAGGTTATTTGAGGATTTAAATAAAGTGGAAAGTGAGGGTTAATTTGAAGCTAAAGTACAGCTCCTTCCCATGGTCCTTTGCCTGCTGGGCTAAGCCACAGAGTGGAGCATGAGGATTCAAGCCATGCTTTGCCTCAGTGGCAGAAGTTTCATCAGTTTTTACACTCAGTGGGTGGTATGTGGGCTTATGTGGGCTGCGCCATCATACCCTAGGATTTATTCAGTTTCTAACTTCTAGCCCATGTTGTATTGCTCAAAATTCCTCAACAGAGGGAACAGAACACTTATTTCCCCATTTCACCCATGAAATTGGAAATAATTACAAGATTCTGCCACAGAAATCTCACAAAGTAGGAAAAAAGGCCAGCTGCACCCCCCCCAACTCTTTGACTTTTGTAGAAGCATGTATTGTGAAAAACATGTTGATTCTTCTTTTCTTCTGATTTTGCCTTGGTTAGGACAGAGCTACAGGAGTGACTAATTCTACCCTTTGAAGCATCTGGATTTACAGTAGTCTCACTCTGCCAGGTAAGTGCTGATGTGGACGTTGCTGTAGTCAGTGTGGACAACCTGAAGCAAAGGCTCTGTGAGCCCTGTTTGGTTTGCCCACTTTGCTGATCCTGCAGGATAACAATCTTGAGCATGTTCCCTTCAAAGAGCTAACACACAGAGAGAAAGGGATTAGGAGCCCCACAATGGAGAGCTGCTGAATGCTGTGCTGTTAGCAATAATTAGGCAGCATTTTATGATTGCACCAGCAGGGCAGTCAAGTGAATAATGCTTTTCAGGGTTTGGGAGCTCTCTCCATAGGTGAAGTATTTAGATGGATTCATGACACTGGCTGAAACAAATCAGTGGATGGGTGATTATAGGATCTGAGAATGGTTAAGCCAAGATGAATCCTGCTAGTTCCTGGGGAGAAAAGGAGATGACTGTCCCCAAGTGCCTGAACTTCCAGTCCAGGATGAGCAGGCTTCCAGGCAGCAGTTCAAACTCCTTGGGTGTACATACCTACTTACACTCTCCCAACCCAACTGTAGCATTCCCATTTCACATGATGAAGGATGCTACACAAACAATAGTCATGATAGAAGGCTTGAGATACGGTGAACAAAATAGCCAGTGCAAGTGAACTGCTTCTACTTACATTTGTGGGGCCACGAGGGCACCATTTAGGCCAAGACCTTAACAAGGTCATTTACCTTCACCTACACCAGGGCTATTACCTTAATTGCCACTCAGCCAACAGGAAAGTGTTTATGGGTAAACAGTTTTCAGCAAGGGACTTATTAAGTAGCCCCTGGATTACTATGGAATCAGGAATCATAAAAACCAAAGCAATTGTAGTCATAATAACCCATGCAGTGTGTCTGCTATGAATGTCTTAAATTTTCGCCACCACCACCATCACCACCCAGAGAAGCTTGAGGGGTGAAACACAGCACAAGATGCACAATGTTGGCCCAAAACAAAACAAAACAAAACAAAACAAGGATGGTATAATGGTTAGCATTGTAACTTGACAGAATCTAGAATGGCTTGAGGAGATGGGCCTCTAGACATGGCTATGAGGGATGACCTTGGTTGTGTTGAACTGGAAAGACCTGACCACTGTTAGTGGGTACTGCCATTCCTGGCAGAGGTCCAAGGCTGTGTAAATAGGGAGGCAGAACTGAGAATCTGGACACATTCATTTCTCTCTTCTGTCTGCAGATGTAGTGTGACCCTCTGCTCCAAGCTCCTAGTCTTGGCTTTCCCGTCATAATGGACTGTGCATTGAACTGTGATCTACAATAAGCTATGTCTCTGTTAGTTGCTTTGTTAAGTGCATTTTATCACAGCAGCATGGAAAAAGAAAGTAGGACTAAGAGGGCTCTCTTTGTTTACCAGGTATGGAAAGTATAAGAGAGCAAAAACCAACCTATTTTTCACAGTGTTACATAGTCTATTGAGGAGCCAGTGGTAAATATGTATCCTAGTAGAGTGAGAAAATGTGCGTATAAATACATTGTATGCATATGGCCAAGGTCAATGTAGAGCCAGACATTTAGAAACAGCCGGTTCTATTCCCATCAACTCATTCTGTGTCCGTATAACACCAGATAAAAGTTGAAAGCACTTATTTCAATCTAGGTTCAAGAAATCCAACCAGATTCAGTAGATTTTCAGACTATTAAGAACGAGTCATTTCAGAGATTGCCACTCCAGTCTCCACCTAAGTGTCCATCCAATCACAAACTTGCTACTGCCACATGGCTAGGCTGTACTCTTGGTTGACTCTTTATGGAAATGCCTCCAATATCAGTCTTTTGTCCTGAACTGAGAGTCTCTGTTGACACTAAGTTACTCCTTCCTGCTTCAGACCACTGAAATAGACTTCCTGTTTCTCTTTAGTTGTATTCATTTCCTGCAAAACAGAATTCAGTCTCAGAGATTTTCATTTTAGAGATTCTGCCTTGATGGGGAATGTACTTCTGTGTGTGTTCATCTTATTGATTGTTGAATAAAGTACTGTTTGGCCAACGAGGCAGCAAGTTAGATGGGACTAGGAGTCAAAGAGGATCCTGGGAAATGTAGTAAAGAAGTGATGATCCAGGCAGGAAATGACATAGCAAGGAGACTCATACATAAACATGGGCAGAAGGAAGTGGGCCCTCTCTTCCTCCAGATTCGCCATGTGTGGGAGAACGCCAATGGAAGACATCCGATAAGATAAGTCTTATAAAATATATAGATTTATGATAATTAAGACTGAGCTAACAGATGAGAATCCTAGTCTTTGGCCAAACAGCATTTGTGCATAATATAAGTCTCTGTGCATTAATTGGGACCCTAACTCAGCGGGCAGAACTCAGGTGGCTGGCAGAGACCGCCCACGTGGCAGTAGGGCTCGGACCACTTTTGGTGGTAATATTTATCATAACACTGCCTCATCTTCTAAGTTTTTAGCTTTTTCAAACAACATTGCTCTTTCATTCAGCTGTGCCCACTTTAATGCTAGCAGGAACAGGACAATGCATCATAGTAATTCATAACTAAATCAAGGAAGAGATAGTTTTTAATGCTACAGACTGCCAATCAAACAGGACCTTCAGGGATATTCTAGATTGATTATAGTGTCTCCTTCCAGAACCATAGAGAATGACATGGTTCATCTTCCCAAAGGAAACTTTTGAAATATTTGAGAACACAGACATCAAGTCCTTCCACATCTGAGTAAGAGTTGACTTTTCCCCAGCCATTTTCTATATGGCTTAAACTTCTTCCTCTTTCATGTCATTTATCAAATGAGTCACAGTTGGTCAAGGTCTTTCTTACAGCATAGAAATACACCACTGTCTTTATCTGTACCTACACTTCAGTTGCCACCTCAAACTATTGATTTTAAAACACATACAGACAGACAGAGAGACAGACAGATACACATACACACACACACACACACACACACACACACACACACACACACACACACAGAGAGAGAGAGAGAGAGAGAGAGAGAGAGAGAGAGAGAGAGAGAGAGAGAGAAAAGGAAACTCACACTTTCCAACCTCTGTCTTATGCAATGGACTGACTCCTGTGGAGGTTGGTGTCATTTACAAAGCTTATGCTTCCTTAAATACATACATGCTTATTTTTGGTTGTGTGGTGTTGGGGATTGAATCTCTGTGATCGTCCCAGTGGCCGCACACAAGCTAAGCACATGTTATCCCACTGTGTGTATCCGAAGCCCCATATGTTCATGCTCAAACCATCCCTCCTTTGTTGTGCATTTGCACAGCTGGTCTGTGCAACATAAGTGAGATGATTTCTATTTATCCCTGTGGAAATGCACCTTGTTTGTAAACCTAACATTGCAGCTACTTTGGATGATCCAGATCCAGCATTCCAATCAACTAGTTATCTCAAATGAAAATTAAATGTGTGTACCACTCTGGTTGTTGGTAACATATTCCTATCATTACCCTACATATTAATAGAACATTTACCTTAGTTTGGGTTCTATGGGTAAAGAGTTAGCACAATAGAGAAGAGAGGGGTTTGTGGAGAATGGCAGAATGGTCAGTACTTTGTCTCACATTTCTTATAAAACTCAATATAAACAACATGTCTACCCAGTAACAGCAGGTGACCTTAGCAGATGGTGGGTGGAAGCAGCTGTGTTACTAAGGCAGAACCATGACACTACAGTATGTTCAGAAGACTAAAGGGATCTTACTACTTTGGTCATAGCAAGCTGTAACAAAGTGTGTTCTGTTTTTCACCCTCAGGAAATGATCACAGCATCAGCCAAACAAGACCAACAAGATGGTTCCCTGGGTAAGGACACTAGCTTCTAAGCCTGATACCTGAGTGTGCCCACAGAGTTCACGTGGTAGAGAGAACCTACTCTATAAGTTGTCCCCTCATTCCACACACGTGCTGTGGCTTAGTGAGCACACACACATACACACACACACACACACACACACACACACACACACACACACACACACACACCCAACAAAAAAAAAAAGCAAAAAGCAAACAAAGCCCATTAAATGTTTAAAAACTAGACAATCAAAATAGAGCATAATCAATCAAATGAACTTCCTCTTAAGCAATGTGGCACATTTGCTGGTGCCTAGAAATTCTGCCCAGCAACAAGAGGATCACAGAGGACATCCTGACTCCTCTTTAGGCACAGTAAGTGCAGGGCTGAGCAACTACAGTGAAAGGTGTTCACACCTGCAGCCAAGGGTCCAGCATAAGAACAGGGTGCTTGTTTTCCAACAAAACAAAATAATTTTGATTTTTAAAAGTTTTCCTTCACAATCTACATTGTGTATGTATATGTATGCAAGCACAAATATGTATACATATGTATGCCTTCTGCATCATACAAAAATAGCAAATCTTACATTGACTCTATTAAAAAAGAAAAGGATCTATCTGCAGTAATCTGGGATAAACTGTTCTCCCAGGTAATCAGGGGGACTGTCTTTGTCCAGAACAGATGCTATGAGATCATGTCTCCAAGAGATGAACTGAGAATGAATCCTCTTAAATTATGACACTCACACAGAGGGTTTTAGCCTGAACATTTGTTCACAAGATTTATGGTCCTGTCCATCCAGCAGAGTCAATGAAGGGGGAGTGGGGGAGAGAAGAAACTTAATTACACCATATGGACAGCAGAGAGAACTGAAAAATTGTAGGGATCGTTTTTAGGAAATCTGAAACTTTTCCAGTCAGAGAGGGGGAAAGACAGGGAGGACTGAGAAGAGAAAAGTGTGTGTAGGTTGGGGTGGGGGGCTCAGGAGGAGAAAGAGAAAAAACAGGAAACATTTGCCATGCAGCAGGAGTGTGTGCCTGACCCCTAGTGTGTGCGGGAGAGGATGGTGCAGGCTAAGTCTCCAGTGTGCTCTAAGAAAATACTCCTCAAACCCAGCTCCCTAAGGTACTCAACCATCTCCTTCATGTCCTCCCTCTCCCAAGCCCTTTCATTTTAGCCTGGGCTTTCTGAGAGAGAAGAGAGACATTTTCCTGTCCTTTCTTTGTGGTGTCTCAGGCTTGGAATTTTAAATTTATGGTCTCAGAACTGCTCCAGTGTTTATATGACTCAGAGGGTGTTATTATCAGATCCAATTAAAAATAGTCCTTCTGCTAATAAAAAAAATATCAGCACCTTCCCACAGGAGGCCCCACCCCTTATGTTAATTAATGTGTACTCAGCATCTGACAAAAGTGAGTCTTTAATTTGTTGGCCCCAGCTTTCTCAGAAGCACAGACCTGACCTGAGTTTATTGTATATCAGGATCTCCTGACACTAGGGTCTCCTCCTGAGACCCCATCCACAAAGCCTGGTTAATGCTACTTGTTTGGCAAAGATTGCTAAGATCTACAGATGAACCTAGCTAATGAATAATACTAATGATCATGTACTCATGAAATGATAATTGGCCCTCTTTGGACCATTTAGAATTCAAATGCCTCCACCCAAATCATCACATGAATGGCAGACAGCCTCTGAGGACCAGCTAGAGCTTTTGTTTTCAAATTTGCAGATTGGAGCTGCTTTCATCAAGAATGCAGCAGTCACAGTGAGTCTACTCCGCAGCCTCTGCATAGCCTGCTGTAATTTTCAGTCTGCTTGAGATACCACTCTCTTGCAAACATCATTTTATCTTTCTCAGGCATGCGAAGACAGTAGGATTTCTGCATCCTCAAAAACTAATCATACATGCCTCAGAGAATTACTGTTGGATCTATTTTCCATAGATTTTGTGGTTAAAAAGGTGATCGATGGTTCTGTTTCCTCTCTGAGAGTCAAGTGAATTTATCAACCTGTGATTGTTGCACTTACCTAAAACAAGGCACCAGTTCTGGGCGGAGTACCTGCCCAATTCATCGTCGGTGTATTGCTCCTCTCTCAGTCTTTCGCCATGGCTGCGCCTGCAGCTTTAATGGTGGGTATCAGCACTGAACAGCAGCTCTCCAAAGGAAAGTGTCTTCCCTGTGCAGAGAAAAGAGGCAGCTCTCTCGCCGGGCCTCGCCTACAGACGATTTATCTAACAGACTCCATTTCCTGCATGCCATTTGCCAGTATTTATCTTGTGTGGGCTCCCAGAGAGGACTGCCGTAGAGGAGTGTCCTGTTAGAACCCAGACTCATATTTTTCCATCTAAATAATGAAGAGGCCTCAGCTCTCTCGCTCTCTCTTTCGCCTTTGTTCCCTGTTCAGAAACAGGCCCGTAATGCGAATGCTACATTTGTAGAAAACCTGATACCCGTTTTTGCTTATATGGGGTCTCCCTTTGTAGACCATGTCTTCGAAAAATAATCTGTTAAATTAGAGGCATGAGGCCCCTTCTCCCCTCCTCACCCCATTCCCCTTCCTCCTTCCCTTAGTTCTCCTTTCTTCCGTTTTTCATAGATATTTTAAATTGTCCCAAGAAAAATACTATTTGTTTAGAGAGTCCGGAAGAGACAATGCTCACCATAGATTTACTCCGACAGGTATATTGTATTTTCTGTTACTGTGGTTTAAATGAACAGTTATTTAAGTAGCAAGAGAACACTGCCATTAGGCAAGATTCTTTTCTTAAATCCAGTGGTTGCAAGCCATTCATTTTTACATTTCCATGTTAAAGATGCTTCCCTAAGAGTGCATTACCTTAATAATCAATAACTCAGCAGGAGGTCCTAATGGGGAGCCTTCACTGGAAGCCAGATTTTACTTGAAGTTGCAAAGGACCACCATAGGCCTGCCGGCTATAATTAAACAACCATAAAACTAGGAGGTAAAGGGTGGCAGACTACATTAGCAGTAAAATGCTAACTTGCAAGTAATAAGTCTGGACTCTTTCATGTCTATTGGAGTGTCTCTTACACTTGAACAAGGAAAATGCTATGTTAAAGAAGAAATTTACATTTAGGATCCCTTAAGCTTAAGGACCAGGGAAGGTTGGTGTGGCGAAGAGAAAACAAAGGGTGCACATTTGTACAACTGGGGAGCTTTCCCTCATGGTCCACTCTCCTTTCCTCTCCTTCCTCTTCCACCAACCAGCTTTTCATCCCCCTCTCTGAGAAGCGTCACAGAATTTAAACACAGGAAACCAATATAAAAACGCTCTCATGCAAAGAAACAGCAGGGCTGACTTTACATCACTTCAATTCATGGCTGGCTAGCTTTACATTTTCTGATCAGTGGCTGCCACTGAGACCAGGAAGCCAGTTTCTTCAAGAGAATCCATGGACCCGTCAGAAGGCCTTGCGTTATTGATTTTCTGCTCATAGATTCCAGTTGCTCTGTCAATCATGGGCCAAAAATACAAGATGGCAGTCAATAAGCAAGAGAACCGAGCTCCCATGAAGACAACAAAATAATTCAGGAGATCTGACAAAGAGAAAGTGCCAGTATCCTCGAGAGAAAAGAAATCAGATATGCTTTCCTGGAAAGAGAAGCTCATGGCACCCACCCCCTACCCCCCACCGCCCAGACACACATACTGTCTTTGTAAGTGAACATATTCCAACTGAGTAAGTTTGGGTTGTGCTCATCAAATGAATTAGCTGATGAACACACTTATTAAGCATGAGTTAGGAAACCTCAAAGGCACTGTTGACACAGCAGAAATAAAATACTGTTCTTCCCCTGTAATGTAGAAATGTACTGTGTGAGTGTTCTGCTTTAAGGGGGTATGCAGTGTACAAATGGCTTTGTGAGTACAGAAGAAGGAGCCGCCACAGCCTGGGGGTTATGGGAGAGTTTAGAAGTGACAATCGAGCTCTATCCTGCAGAATGCTGGGGACTTCTACAAACAAAGGGTACACTCAGCCTTGGGGATCCCAGCATGTGGTGTTCACCCAACACTTGCTCACTCTTATTAATACAAATTTAATGGATTTATAAATAATTAAACAAGACATTCTTTAAACTGGAGATGTGAACTGAACACCCTGCTATGTTGGTTTTCAACTATTTAATGAATTTTGCCTCACCCTGTAAGGGATACATTCCCACGTTGACTAACTTGGGCTCTGTGAAATGAAACTGCTCAATAAATATTTGTTAATGGGTGGATTAGGGAAAGAAGGCAGGATGTAACTGAATGAAGTAATAAAAATCACTTGAGGATACAGCTGTCCTTAGAACACCTTAATCAAATCACCCTGGATTGCCTAGGTTGGCCTTGAACTCACTCTATTGTCCAGGCATGTCTTGAACTGAGTCATCTTCATGCCTTTAGCCTCCTAAGTAGCTGGAGTTACAGGTCTACCTCTCACCCCTCATTCTCTTTCTCCCTCTTTTCCCTCCCTCCCTGCCTCCTTTCCATTCTTTCTTTATTCTTTTTTTTTCCTGTGTGTAAGTAAGTGTGTGCCTGTTAGAAGAGACTGCTCATGTAGGAGCATACATGTCAAGGCCAGAGGCTCATACTGCCCTTTATCACTTCATTTTGGGGGACAGGTTCTCACACAGAATGTGCTATGAATTTGGCTATGCTCACTAGGGAATTAGCTCTATGGGTTCACCTGTCACTGCTTCTCCAGCACTGGGATAATAGATGCGTGAAACTGTGCCCATTTTCTGATATGTGGGCTGAGGATCCTAACCCAACTTCTCATCCTCATGTGGCACATATTTTACCCATGACACCATCTCCTCAGCTTTCCTTCCTCCCTCCCTCCGTCCCTCTCTTCCTTCCTTCCTCCCTTCCTTCCTCCCTTCCTTCCTTCCTTCCTTCCTTCCTCCCTTCCTTCCTCTCTTCCTTCCTTCCTCCCTTCCTTCCTTCCTTCCTTCCTTCCTTCCTTCCTCCCTTCCTTCCTTCCTTCCTTCCTCCCTTCCTTCCTTCCTTTCTCCCTTCCTTCCTTCTTTCTTTCTTCTATGTGTCTTTTACATGATGTATATTGACCCCATTCATTCCTCTGCCCCTGAACACTCCCCAAATAAAGCACAATTAAAGAGAAAAAAGAAAATAAAAAAGGGTAAAATTAAAAATCTCATCATGGAAGATGAGCCACCCCCTGGCAGCTTTACTAAGAGCTTCTCTTCTTCTGTGATCTCTTCTTCTTATGCTTCATGATTTTGCTCAGAATGTCTTCTCTTCCTGCCACCCTTGGGAAAACTCCCTCTTTATTTCAATTATTTTTCAAGTATTGAAATTAAATATGGACTTCAAGATTGTAAGGACGGCTTACGTGGCTATCACCTACATCGACACATGGCCTGCCCTTCAGTGTATATGTGGACTCGTTCCAAGCAAGGGTGCTTCCTTCATGTACTTGTTCATCCACAGGTACAAGCATGCATGTGCTATGGAAGCAAAGGGGAAGGGTCTCTGTACTTTGAGGTAGGCAGCTAGGCAGCATCAGAAGAAAAATGATCCACAGACTATTCACTTCAACCTAGTTCTAATATCCTCACAGTTAGTGAAAGTTCTTCTAGACATTGACATCAGAGTTACTAGTAAATTCTAAAAGTGTTTTGCATTTGAGACCGGCTTCTTTAACAGAATAGATATTTAGATATTTTAATATAAAATTATATAGCTTTTATCGTTTGAACCAAAATCCATATGTATCATTTTTAATGGCTGTATAGTTCTATTACATAGATGATTTAGAGTTCACCGAAATTGTTCCTTCTTTCTGTAACACATACCTCCAAGAACTACAGAAATGGCTTGCTAGTTAAGAGTGCTTGCTCTGCAAATGTGAGGATAGGAGGATCAGAGTTCAGAGCCCATCATCCCAGTAACAAGCAAGCATAGTTTTGGGCAAGTTTGTAATTACAGCTCTGAATGAAGGCAGGGTGATCTCTGGAGCCATCTCTTTTTCAGCCCAATGAAGAGCATGAACTCCAGGCTCAGTGAGAGATCCTGCCTAAAAGAAGTAGTGAACAGAACCAAAGGGTAAGACATTTGATGCTCTCTTCTGGCCTTCACATACAAACACAGGCATCTGTACCCACAGGCACTCATGTTCATAGACCTCACATATAAACAACACATTCACAAACATACCACATGCTAATATAAGTACAAATTAAAAAAATAAAAGAATTCGAGTAAATTGAGAATCTTGATCAAATAAGCTGTAGTCACAGGGGTCTTCTTTTGTTATTAATATTTATGGCATTGAAAACTTTAAAACTGGAAAGGAAAACCCCACTAGAGTGAATCTCCTGCTAGGTTAGTTCTACAGAGGTTTGCCTTGACATTCTGGAAAAAAATCTGTCCATAATGAAATAGAACAGCACATTTTAGGGACTGAGGTTTCTTTTGTGCTGGGAGACAGAAAATCCTCAGATGCTGTGTGTCTGTGAGACTGCTTCAGTCCAACTTGGTTAAAGATTAGGGAAGGAGAGTTCTCAAGTTGTTCTAGAGCTTATCAACCTTTGTAAAATCAGACTAGAGACTGACAAAAGAAGAGAGCACCCTTTCCATCTAGTCTGAGTTTGATCCAATTCAATAGGAAGCAAGGTTTAAGACCTACCCCTGCCCCTCATACTCAAGCAGCTTTATATCCTGGTCTGTGGCATCCTTGTATAGAGAACAAGGAAAAGCAAATGTCTGCAATCCTTATGAAGTTATCTTGGGCTCTTATTTACCCCACCGTCTACCTCAAAGACCCCTTTCTGACTTGTTTTAATACACTCTACAATTAGAAGGCAGACAGTTGAAGTTTATTTTCCTATCCAAGTTACATGTTTGTTGTGAGGCATTTGAAATTATGAAACATAGAGCCATTCCTTAGATAAAAACAATTTTGTAAAGAAGAGAAAGCTTGCCACATGTGGCCTTTAATGCCAGCAATCCAGAGGTAGAAGCAAACAGATTTCTGTGAGTCAAAGGCCAGCATGGACTACATAGTGAGTTCTAGAACAGCCAGGAATATTACACAGAGAATCCCTGTCTTGAAATACAAACAAAATGCCTTTAATCCCAGCACTTGGGAGGCAGAGTCAGGCAGATCTCTGTGAGTTCGAGGCCAGTCTGGGCTACAAGCTACAGAAAGAAACCCTGTCTCAAAAAACAAAACAAAAACAAAAAACAAAACAAAAACAAGAAAAGAAAAAAAAAGAAAGTTTGTGTGAAATAAAGAGAAAATATCCTAAATTGGAAAATGTGACTCTGCAGTGGGAAACTCAGGCATGAGGAGGTGGACAGGGTGAGGTCGCAAATATAGTAGTTACAGTTATGTTGAAAGAAGAGTTACTCTGCTTCCTCTGTGGAGCACCAGAATCTGGAAACCAGGGAGAGATGAAGTATATGACCATGACTGATGTCAACTAATCTCAGAATTAAAACAAGTGTCTGACCTGGTTAGCATTTAGAAGGCATGAAAGGGATGGGAGTTAGAAATCTTGGGACTGTGATTACAATTGGCATGAGAGTAGATGGCTTATCCTGACAGTGCATCATCCTGACAGTGACTCTGCCTCCTGTCATTCATATCATTCAAGGAGATTCTGGACAAGAATGAGATGGGACGGGGACAGAAGGATCTTCAAATCTGCCCTCTCTTTGACAGTCTATGCACTTGGGCTGGAGAAATGGCTCAGCCGTTAAAGGCTAGGCTCACAACCAAAAATACACAGTCAATGCACTAATTTGCAAGGCAGAGAAGGCAGAACTTTCTGTTAGATAATACAATATAGATATTGTAGAGGCATTAGCTGTTCTAATAGATGAGAGTGAAGCACTTCTCTTCATGCTAACCTGTTGGGATCATATAAGGAGTGTCAGTATTTGTGGGGCAGGACCACACACACTCATCAGATTCTTAAGGTGTCTATGTTACAAACAAATAATGACCACAGTAGCACAGAGTCCTTGATGAAATCCTGCACACTTACTGATCCTCATGTCTTATGTGAGGCCGTTGTTTTCTAATCAAAAACAAAATAGGGTGTAGTGGGCAATTACCAATACGGAGTCAGGTAGAAATGTAAGGGTATTTAATAGGGAAAAGCCTTACTTACAGAGCGACCTAGCCAGCCGGCGTGGCAGCAATCTGTACAGCAAGTACCAAAGTGAAACCGAAAGGGCAAACACAGTCACCCTACGTCCTCCTGACCACGCCCTCGCAAGCTTGTGAGGGCGTGGTCAGGCACACCTGTAGCCAGCCCCTAAGTAGGCGTGGCTACAGCTTCCCCTACAATAGGGCACAAAAAACATCTCGGGGTAGTTGGGTTCTGATATTGGGGATAATGAAAAGAGGGAGCTGCGGGAGTCAGGAGTGGCAGGAGTTACAGCTCTCTCGTATTGACTCAAAATGAAATCATATTCTTCCTCCCCTAGCTATCTTGCTGCCCATTACTACCAACTGAAACACTGTATCAGTTGGGAATCTCCAGAGAAACAGGGCTGAACCTCAAATATATACACAATTATATGCACACATGAACACATGCCCATAAACACACACACACACACACACACACACACACTTTATCCTTATACTTTTATATGCAATCCTTAAATATCTTGCTATTTATTAGGTACATAATGGGTTGATGTATTCAAAATTAATAATAAGGTGCACATTGATTAATATACTTTAAGAGATTTGTAGTCAGGAATTGGAAAATGGGATTTGGGGAAATATTAGATTCAAACATGGAGGCAGAACAGCAGGTCAGGAACCAAACCGGGGTTCTGCTGAGGTACTGAGGAAGCACTCCCACTTTCTGTAAACTCCAGGGTTCATTCTTAAGTTCTTCAATGGATTAATGGGGGCACTAGACATTATCAGGTTTGTTCTACTTAAAAGCTGACTAATTATGAATGACAACCACCTATTTATCTATTTCACAAACACATTGACACTAGTACCAATTTCATAGCTGGATAATGTAGTCTAACCAAGTTGAGATAAAACTTGAATCACTTCACTTGTTACCTCTTAGCCCAGAAAACCTGAAGTCACTATATCTTCTTCCTCATAACAGTTGGTCACAATTTCAACCGAGAAGGAAATGGAGGAGAGCCATATTTAATAAAGGGGAAATGAAGGCAACTGGAATACCAGAGGAATGTTCAAAGCCTTTCCCACACTCTTGTCCAGTGTTGACTTCTTGGGATGAGTTGGCAATCAGTAAGTCATTTAAACCACATTCTAAATGGTGACATGACCAGGTTACTTCCATTCATTATATTTTGTGTTATGTGATTAGCTGTGTCTCATGTTTTTTAAATGAGCAGCATAATACTATTTAAACCCATTAGACTGTCTAAAAGGCTGGCAGATACAAAAACCCATTATTTTTATTCTTATGCATCTCATCACTATCCCAATAAAAATTGTCTCAGCTAGTTATGACTGTATAATGAAAACTTAGGAGTCACTTATTTTTCACTTGTCTTTGTCCTAAGTTTGGCTGTAGGTGCTCAACTTTCTTCACATCTACTCTCAGAGTATTCATAGTCCTGCTGCTTACAGATTGTCTGCGGGTTTGCCCTGTTTACATATAGCCTGAAACTAAGGGAATAGAGGCTGAAAGATGGCTCGGTAGGTAAAGTATTTATCATGTATCCACGAGAACCTGAGCTGGATGCTTAAAACTCATGTAAAAAGAAGCCAGGCATTGTGACATATTCATGTAACCCTAGCACCAAGAAAATGGAGATTCCCTGGGCCTCAGTGGCTAGCCAGCTTACTTATCTGGTGGATTAGGACAGTCTGAGGCACTGTCTGAAAAAGTAATGTAGACAGTGCCTAAGGAGCAGTACCAGAGGTTACCTTCTGACCTACAAATGCATGTGCAGACATGGACATATGCTTGTTCAAAGGCATCCTTACCCCCCCTAAAGAAATCCCTAAAATATGTAAATGGGGGAAGAATGGAAGCATGAGGTCATCTGGTCTTGGAGATGACACAATGTCACCTCTACTTTCCTTTGATTAGAAAGACAAGTTCCATTGATGAGGTGGGTGTTGACACTGTCTCTAGAAGAAAGGACTGCAAAGCCAAATTCCAAAAATCATGGATATGGAAAAGGGAAGAGCTGGCTAAAACACTGAATCTATTGTTTTTATGATGGTGCGTTAAATTTTCTCACCATTGTAGCAATTTTCTACAAACTTGGTGGCTCAGAATAACAGAATTGCGTTCTTTGTGTTCTGTGTTCTGGAAAGCAGACCTTGAGAGCATGTTAGTAGACTGAAATCGGGCTGCTGCTGAGTTGTTTTCTTTTGCAGGCTATCTAGGGAAGTTCATTTCTCATGACGTCTACTTTCTGTTGGTTGCCAACACTGCCTGAGTGGTGGTCCTATCCCTCTCGTATCATTTTCTCCTCTTCTATTGTGTTTTCTGTCTGTGGAATATTTGTTTCTCTTTAGAAAGACTCGTTTGATTGCATTTAGATATCATTTGGATCCTACTTTACTATACAGAGGCCCCCAACCTAAATCTTTCCATATATTAATTAGCTCATTGAGTTTTCAAAGTTTCTTTTGCTATTGTTTCAGTTGTCATCTTACCTTTCTTAAAGGAGAAAATTGGAGCAAAGGGGAGCCTGAGCTTGAACCCTCTTGGCTGGTGATAGCATCTCCCTTAACTGCTGCATTCTATCCTTTCTCAACCTTGCTTGTAAATCAACAGACACATGGATGGAATAGCACTCTCTAACTCTAGGAACTTTAAAGCTGAAATTTAATAACATGAAGCCAATTGGCTTCTTATACTGGAAGACACAGAACAAGCTTCAGAGAGTTTAGGGAGTGACAATAAAGAGTATCTCTGATGCTGTTATCAATTGCTCCAAAACTTTGGCTTGGGATCAATGACTAAATTCCTGTGTGACAGTCCCGTGGCTGTGGCCAGGTTCTGAGCAGAGTTTCTCACTATGATCACTCCCATTGTACAACTTTTCTTCAAAATGACTATGAAGTTGCAATTGGCACCTGATGGAGATTGTGTATTAGCTTCCTGCAGAAGTCTGTGCCAAAAAGCCTTAATATTGCACAGTCTAATAGAAAACAGAACAGTACAAAGCTGGCTAGGTTATTTTGAGCTAGTCATTTACCAGACTTATGCATTTGTTTAAACACACAGATATTTTCATGACTTAAATGTTAAGCTCTATAGCTTAGTTTCTGATTGGCCCTCCAGATTGGGGGGGGGGTAGCTACACAGAGCATGTTTAGCATGTTTGCTGTTTTGGCTTAAATACTGACAAAAATCTAATTTCTGATATTTCTAAGACTCTAGCATTGCATGTGGAAGAGGAATCTAACCACATCTGGTGTGAGCCACGAGTCTCCAGAGAGTTTTCTAAATATTTTTATAGACTTTACCAGAAATTTTCTCCCTTTGCTCTTTAGCCTGTTTTTTTGAAGGACATTAATAGACACATATTTTAATCATCTGTCCAAAACAAATAGAAAATATCTTACATATATCCTGATTCCAAAAACTAGTTGATTCCAGATATGCTGAAGATTCTATATTACAAATTCAAAACAATGATTATTTTCCTCCAGATTTAAGTACATTTAATTTATTTTTTCAGTATTTTATTTTATTATTAAAATAGATTCTCCTCTCATACAATACATCCCACCCACAATTTCCCCTCTGTCCTCTGCTCCCCACCCCCACCCTCACCTCCTCATACATTTCCACTCATGAGAAATTCATCTGTAAGCCCAACAGGCTAACTGAACAGTGAAAAGTACACCCTCATTTAGGCTTCTGCTAGTCTCAACAAAAATAAGAAGAGGTCATGAATTCGGAAGGGAGTGGAGGAACATGGAAGGAGCTGGGTCAGGGAGATGAGGGGAGAAGGATGATGTAAGTAGTGCTGTTGTATGAAGTTCTAGAACACTTGAGTAAAATTAGTTTCAAAGGAATGGGTAACACATTCAGAACAAGACTCTTTCCTTCAATTTTTCCACTTCTGTTACTTAGTATCAAAGTTTTAGATTAATTCTAAAGAAAATTAAGAAGGTCTATCAAAATTTATCAGCACATTTTACCAAGGACAAAACTGGCAAAAATTCAACATGGTATATGAATCAAAGTATCATACGGGAGTAGTTATGTGTCTATAACCTGCCTGCCTGAATATAATTCACATATGCACACAAAAACTAAAACTAGTATATTAAGTTTAGAAGCTGTGTGTGTGTGTGTGTGTGTGTGTGTGTGTGTGTGTGTGTGTGTGTATACGTGGGGGGGGGAAATAATTATTTTTTGGGGGGGAGGTAATACTTAAGCATTTCAGGAGGATTGGTTGCTCTGCCAGGGATAATTACCATGAGGATGATTTAAGCTAAGCCTGCTCACAATTTAGGACTTAGACTTCCTCCCCTCCTCTAACTGATGCTCATGTCTGGGTAGTTATGTGGCTCTGATCTCGAGTCCCTTATCACCATGCTCCTGAAAGGAGCGCCCCCTCCATCGTGTCTCTGACTCTGTGTGCTTTCCTTTTTCACATTGATCACAACAAACTTTTACTTCATTGATATTCTCCTTAAGATGAGAGCCTGGTGGACCTCGGTGGTCAACGAGTATTTATTTTTCCTGCCAAGTCCTCATTTCATATTTCCATTCCAAATTTACATTTTTGCTATGCATGGAAACTTTAAGAGATGTTGGTTAAAACACAAAGATTCAGAAAACAAAATATTCTGAAATGAAGTTCATTTACAGTGAGAACAAAGTCCCAAAGTCCCAGCAGGAAAAATGAATTCTGAAGGCCACGTTTCTTTTTTTTTGTTGTTGTTGTTTTTTTTTGTTTTGTTTTTTGGTTTGTTTTTGGTTTCTTATACTTGTTCTTCTTGCATAAATGTGCAGCCACTATGAGATCACTGGGTCATAAATATAACTATTCTCCTGGCATAGCCTCCAGTGTGAGTGTTCTGTTGACCTCAGAGCCTCCATTCCCTTTGCTGATTCTCCCGCTTGTGGGAACAATGTGAGGGCTGCCCAAGTGGATTCCATGCCTGCACACAGTCAGCTGGGCTGCAGCTGTCAACCTGAAGCATTAGAATTTTAACCAGCAGTGAATACCTATGACCTCTGAGCTGGTGATGTTGTCCTGTCTGTCACCTGTCCTGTCTGTTGTCCAGGGTTGGACATTTGCAAAGATAAAAACAATCATACCATCTTTTGACAACTTATGACAGAGTGCTAGGCATTCTTGAAGAATTGCGCCCTAACATTAGCCAGTGAGTGAAAAGTTTGTGTGGTCTTCCCATTTCTTCATTTAGTTATTTCCTAACTGAACCACTTAGAACTGACACATTCAGTGGGGCATCTGGCATGTCTTAAACACTCAGCAAAAGTTAGTTTTTAATTTTCATTCCACAGTTCCTTTCTTTCTTATATGCAGAGCTTTTGCCTGATTTTTGATTATATGTGATGTGTGTATTGGGATCAGCTTATCTTGGTGAAAGGGTTGCACTAGGAAAAAAACTAGTCATAATCTAATCAGTGTCGAACTTAATTCTCAACACATTGACAGAGGAAACCTTCTAGAAGAAATGGCTGAATGATTATATCCAGTGTGACTCTTTCAGTGTAAAACCTGATAAATATATAGACACTTGGAGTAGGGACCTTGGAGATTGTCCTACCCAATTTGTTTTCCTTTCTTAGCTTTGCCAATTTACTGGTGAGGAAAGAGCTAGGGAAACAAGGTGACAGCCTGCAGTCCGGTTATCCATATTGCATTTAAAAATGGCCTTCACAGCATGGGTGGTCAGGCTTAACCACTTCCTTAAGTACTTATTTAAGAAAGTGAACCTGTGCTCAAACCCAAAGGTGATGTCTTGGGTTATTGTAAGAAAGCCAGTGACTGTGTGAGGTTGCAAGCACAGATAAAATGTTATGGGAGACCTTAATGGAATCAACTAATCAGTGCCTGTCCACTGTATGAGAGTGCAGAGCCCAGCCATAAACTTGGCAGTTAAATTTGGGTGTGGACAAAATATGCAAACTCCTGATAGATTTCAGAAGTTATTCAACATTACTTTCTATTTCATGTAGTTTGGAAGTAATAATTGCATCTTTTGTAAATTATTAAATGTTCAAAAAACTTTATACTACTGAACATACAGTTCATGTGCTAGAAGCTTTGGTATTAAAGCAA